TTCCATAGTGCATGGTGGTTGAGCACATTAGCAACGGATTCATGAGGACGAGTATAAGTGGGACTGTCCAAATGGGTAGAGAGGTGAAACAAATACCAATTATTGCAACAAATTGCCAAATTGTGGGATGATTTATCCACAGGGCAATGACAAAGTGTTGTTGCAGATGGCGTAAGGAGGCATGTGCACAACGAAGTGAATGTTGTTGGCTCACATGATTGGAAGATGAAGTCGCATTGGATTGACAATGCCCAAGGATTGCAGAACGCCAGCTGTGCAATTTCTGAGAAAGGGACGAGAAAAAAACAGATCGAGAGTGTCTAGCAAATGTATTCTTGTAACTGGCAATGTACTCATCGAGTCCGATCGCCAGTGCTTGGTGCACATCAACAGTCTCCCCGTTCAAACGGTATTTTAGAACCTTCTTGAAAAAGCTTGCGAAGGTTATCGTCTGAGATGATATTGTAATCAACAGAGACAACATGGCCGTCCACAAGATCTGAACAATGCGGAAAGACCCTGCGGCATTCGCAGTTCAAGGAGTCTGGTAAGGTCATGTCAGGAGCAACACTCAATGCCACATCAGTAAAGTTGCAAAATTGGACACGTGTGGGTGGCATCAACTTGTCACATACACGAACATGTGCGACCGCTTGAGGGTCAGGGTGCAATGCAGCTACTTCCAACAACTGCAACACATGGCGCAAGTTCGTGGCACGAACTACCTCATGCACATGTACGACCTTAATATGGTCAGTAAACGGGTCACGTGGTTGTGCTGTGTAACGTTGGCGGGTATGCTGGGATTTTCGGACGAGGCATTCGAGTTCTCAAATGTCTGCTGTCATGCCCGCATTGGAAACAATGTTATAAAGCCATTGCAAAAGTCGTGTCCGCCACGCTGGTTGTGCCCGCTCAATGTCAGCCTTGACACGACACCAGTTACCCGAAGCAGCTTCATTAAGAAGGCGATGGAGTGAGGTACGAATTACGAGTTGGGGACCTGGACGAAGATCAATAGCAAATGACGGAGGCGAAGGCGTTGGGAGGAGAGGTAAAGGCCGAGAGGGTGTTGACAAAAGAGGTGCAACATGGGAGTCAACGGATGTTGGCAAAAGGGGTGCAACATGGGAGCCAACGGGTGTTGGCAAAAGGGGTGATGTGTGAGGAGGATTAGCTGATGCAGGAATAGGTGGAGCAGGTAAGGGCTGAGCAAAATAGGATTGAGGAACGAACGGCTGAGGGCCCATTTGTGTCCATCGGGAAGGACGTAAATATCGCCGTGGAGATGGCAATCTAGCCATTGGAAGGACTGCATTGAAACCGACTGGGTGAAGCGTTCAAAGTTTTCGAATCCAAAAACCCTCGCGGGGTGCAGCAGACCTCCGAAAGAGGCCATGATCAACAAGACCTTCAGACGTATGATACAGGGTAGGATCGATGCATTCCAGGGGCCAAGCCACAAAGTTGAATGCTGGTTGCCCACTCATTGTGTGGTAGAAATGACGATGGTGAAAAGCAGCAGAAGAGTGTCGTGTATGCCAATGCTCTTGCAGCCTTTGGTGTGCAGAATGCATCGTCTGTCCAACATAAAAACGACCAGAAGGTAAATGAACAATTGCATAAATCACTCCTCGAACAGTGAGGGGGTCCATACSTGGYTSAAGAGGTTGTTGATCAACACCTCGCAATTGTAACTCAAACCGCTCGGCCTGTACAACATTGTTAAGATGACGGAGTTGTCCCTTGCGCCACGTTCCTGCAGAATACAAGTTAGTATTCCACTCCAAGTGTGCACGCCAATCTACACGATGAGAAACAGATGCCTGGTGGTTCGACATGTGAGCATAAGCAAACGGGACAGCGTGACCCAGAGGAAAGCTTGGTATAGCACCTGCCATGCCAACGACAGGAAATCTCCCGAGAGGGGTGGGAAGTATCGAGACAGCCCCTTGATTATTTCTTAATTGCAAATTCATTGATTATGAAACAATTGTTTTTTTTGTTTTTTTTCTTATTTTTTTTTATTTATTTTTATTTTTTTGTGTCAACTTTTCAATCCAAAGAAAGGAGGTGGGTGCATGAGGTGACAGGACTTTAGGCCCGACGGCTCAGGTCGGGATTCCTGCCGTCGTCCTTTTTGTTTGCTGTTCACAGTCAGCAACATTGTCAAAGAGGGAGCTTGGTGTAAATGTGAAACTGCATCTCCCGATGAGTGTGCAATTAGCATAAGTGTGCAACCAGCAACAATGTCAAGAGCCTTACACCGATAGACCAACAGTGTCTACATAAAAAGATGTCACCAAGCAACTGACACATGCATGAGCCAGCGTAGAAGGATTATCCCAAAGAACAGGGAACAAGAGGTGAGTGGGCATGGAGGCAGCCKCCCGGGTCTGGCCAACCTTAGGCGGGCCGTAACTATACCCACTGCACGGGAAAGGGGTGCAACCCGTGCCCTCCTTAGGCGGGCCGTAACTATACCCACTGCACGGGAAAGGGGTGCAACCCGTGCCCTTGCGGTGACCGCCATCACAATCACATCATGCACTGAAGGAAAAAGTGTACATAACAGTTATACACAAAATGAACATGGTCACAATACCAAGCTTATCAAAAAAAGGACAAACAACCATGCAGAACTTTTGTAACAACATCTGTCATAAGAAACAATGGAGGAGCTGAGTTCACCATGAAACCAGCCAAATAGGCATACAGCTCCTGCGAAAGAGGCAGGAGAGTCGTTAAGGAAGGGGGTGAGAAAAAGGAGCAACATAAAAAGAAAGATGTAGGAGATAAGAGAAGGAATAGATTGTCTTCCACAAAAAAAGTGAGTGCCTGGTTGTACAGGC